TGTGGGTGTGGGGTGTGGGTGGGTGTGGGTGTGGGTGTGGGTGTGGGTGTGGATATGAATAAAATACACCCACACTCTTATACGAACAAATGGAACTGTAGAAAACTCATCATCATTTTATATTATATTTAGTATTGTTCTTATATTTTTTATTATTGGTTTAATTTGTAGTTTATAATCTTTGTTTAACGGTTGTTGGTCAATTTGGTTTAATTGAATTCCTCGTGAAGTGTATTTTCTTATTTATACCTCCAATCAGTGATCAATATACATATTGATCATGTATAGTCACAAAAGTACGATAATATTTATCTCTTCTCTTTTTGATTTTCTTAACACATATATGACGATACTAAATTATAACTTTCCTTGTTTTTTTTATTTGACAGTGTTTTAAAAAACTTGCTTTTACTCATTAATTTTTCGATGATGTTTTCACTTAATACAATTCATTGAGAAATACATAGATAAAACAGATTGATCTAATTGATAATTTAGTCTTTTCTTTTTATTTTATCATCACACATAACAAATGTCTTTTGCTTGTAATTATATTTTTAATTTTATTAAATTATAAATTTAAATAATTTTAATCAGTTATAAAACTATTTCTACTACACTTTTAGACTAACTTATGCATATCAAGGGTTTTTATATAAAAAATCTCAGAGAAAAATATTTATTCAAAACTGTTTGTATGGAACAAAGGGTTAAATTTAAAAAAATCATTCATTAAGTCCTGAGTATCCCTTTTCTTGTTTTTGTAGAACTTTGTAATGAATATGACCAGATCATTTCATAGTTACTGTTAAAATATATTTTACATTATTTCGGAGAATTAATTGAGTTCTATGATTTTGTATCGTATTTATATATACAAAGAAATCTCCGATATTTAAATCAACAGTATAAGTTTTCTTCTTTCATCACCCCCATCGATGTTCATTTATTAGTATTTATACATTCTTGTTATTCTAGATCAAATTCAATGTTCAATATATTGAAAGTAACAAGAAACTGTTTTTTTCTAATTATTGTTATATTTGTAATGAATACTTACTTATTAATTTTTTTGTTTTTTTTTGTAACATATGACTTTAAAAATATCATACATCGCAGCGCCTGTCATGACTTTGACAAAATTATTTAGATAAGATATCTTCCGCTTGAAAAATCAGAACACTATGATGCATGATATATAATTAAAACTGTTATTTAATATGTTGTTAAATAACAAAGAAACGGCAAAAGAGAGAAAAATTAGTTATTAGTAGCAGATGTGTTTTCTTTATATTTGAACACATCACAATATTTTACTGTTCATTCTGAAATCAGATTAAGGCAATGATAGATTTTAACAAACGATCATTCTGGAATTTTACATTAAAAGATATATTAAGTATTATATCTTCAGTTGCTATACCCATAGCTCTTGCTATTTATACTGCAATTGGATCTCAACAACAAAAGCAACAAGCTGAGAAAAAACAAAAGTTTGATTTTGAACAATCAACACAATTAAGACAACAAACACTTTATGATGAGTTCTTAAATAATATTTATCAACTGGATAAAGATGGCTATCTAAATGACATAAAAAATCCATGGGCATTTGCAAATGCACATTATCGTGCTGCTCATCGTCAATGGGATACAATACGTAAAGCAGATGTTTTACAATTTCTCAAAGAAAAACAATTAATTGGCAGAAATAATTGTACTGATGGATGTAAAACAACCAACTTAGATGATATAATTCGTTTGAATGAATTAAGTTTTGATAATGTGCGTCTGGCAAGTGAAACTGGTATGTTAAATAAGTTGAATTTACAATGTGTTTCTTTTGATCAAGTATCAATGTCAAATGCGGAGTTTTCATTTGCTAGTTTAAATGGTGTATCATTTGATGGAGGCCGATTAGATAAGGTGAAATTTGAAGGTTCATCTTTACTTTGTGCTAGTTTTAATGGCGTAAATCTATCGGGTGCAGATTTTGGAAACTCAAATTTGACAGGTGCACACTTTTCAAACAGTGATTTGTCAGGAGCTAAAATAACAGAAGATCAAATAAAACAGGCATCTTTTCATAATGTAATTATGCCAAACGGAGAGAAGGGTGAAATTAAATCCTCAGCGACAACAAAAAAACCTATAACACAAACAACATTAACATTAACATCATCATCCTCAACAGCATCACCAACAACAACGCCATCAACAACTACAACATTATCACTGAGAACATCCTCACCAACCTCATCGACAACAGCAACAACATCCTCAACAACGCCATCGACAACAACAACAACAACAACAACAACATCATCAATCGGTCAGTAATATCCTACACCAATCATAGTACCTTTTTTAGTTGTTAACCCATCAAGTGTTATTCAGTTTGAGAAACTATACCCTTAGAACTTTCTGAGTTTTATTTGCTAAATATGTTTGATGATGTTAAGTAATTTTCAGACAATATTTCTTTTTGAATATTATTTTGAAAGTTAGCCATATTATTTGTTTGTAGTATTACTAAAATAATTTTATTTACTTTTATCTTTATGAGATAGATTTGTGTAGCATTTTATGTAGAATGATAATCAGAAATTTTTAAGGGAGAATTCAGCTCGAAGCTACAACAAATGGTGATAGATCTACGGAATACAAAACTTATTCAATTTTAACTTTATATGTAGATGTCGATCTTTGTATGTGAGATTTAGCTTTCCCAAAGATGCTTAAAGGACTAAAGGTATTAAAGGGACTACTGCATTCTACAGAAAAGTAAAAGAGGACAAATTTGATTTCTCCTGGATCTCTCTTGTTCAGTTTAAGCATCTTATGTAAACCTCAGAAAGAATCAGTCATTCTCATTTTATATCCGGAGATATTCTATGTCTGTTTATTATAGTGAAGAGATTTTTCGGTGCACTCGAATAAGTTGATCTATCATATAATTGGAAGATCTTCGTTTGATTCACTTAAGATTACTAAAATACACAAGATAGAAGTATATTTCTAGTAAGGTTCCGTCGAAATTTTAGTCTTTTCTGACTGCCATGTTTAGTAATTGTTACAAAATGTTAACTCAATTAAACATATATTCGTGAGAATATGTTTAGAACATCCCAAAACTGATTTTGTATTGAAAAGACATTACAAAGAATGATGTTACGTGAAAAAATGAATGCAGAAGAGATAAATGTATTAACTGAATTTGAGATTAATAACTGTGCAAATGGCGAGATAGATTAAAACGTCGTTCATGATGATAAATAGAATTGGAACAACGATATAAGTAGTGGAATTGTAGAAGATGACAATTAGTCATGAAAATAGTCGAATGATTTTATTGGTTGATTGATTTGCTTTGATTTGAGCTAAGGTGTTGCAGATAAAATATAATAAGACTATGAAATACTGCTTTTTCGATAATAAAAACTGTAATCTAAATCTGTTTTTCTTGTTTACCAGCTTATAATATTACATTTCTTAACCAAACTATTTACGCAGTTGGTGACGTTCCATATGCAATAGCAGTAGCCGATGTGAACAACGACAATAAACCAGATATTGTTACTGCAAACCAGGGTTCAAGTACCGTCAGTGTTCTTCTCAATAAAGGCAACGGTACTTTTTCTACTCCAACGAACTACTCAGTTGGTAGATGGCCAGAGTCGGTAGCAGTAGCCGATGTAAACAGTGACAAAAAACCCGATATTATTACTGCAAATCAGGGTTCAGTCACCGTCAGTGTTCTTCTCAACGCAGGCAACGGTACTTTTTCTCCTCAAACTAATTACGTAGCTGGCACAGGTCCATCGTCAGTAGCAGTAGCCGATGTGAACAGCGACAATAAACCGGATATTG